CTCGGCCGGAGCCTGTGTCACCTGCGGCAGCTGCTCCCGCAAAGGCAGAGCAATTCGCTGCGCCTGCAAACCCTGCGGCTGCATTAACGCTTAACCGTAACTAAAATGAGACTGGGGGACGCCGAGAATGTGCTCGCACCGGTGCTGATGGAGAAGTGCGGTTGCAGGAAGCCGTGAGCAGGGACCAAGAGCACAGCTGAGCATTTTTGTTATCCCCTCTACCAGCCAACCTGCTGGACCCTTGTGAAGGGCTTTCAAGTCTAATTCTGGAGCTTTTCCCTTCTTTCCTAACTAGTCCCAGTGCTGCTCCTTGGCGTGGTTACTAATCTTAGAAAGCAGAGGCGTTAGGAGGAGTTGGAGAGAGGTGCTTGGCAGAGGAGGCTGGGGGCTGCCGCGGGGCTGGGCAGAGGGGGCAGAGCCCTCCCAGGGGCCAGGCACGAGGGGGTCCTGGGCCTCTTTGATGCCGCGTACCCTGAGCCAGCTCCGGGGAGGTAACTACATTGCAACCAGGGCTCTGCTAAAGGAATTATGCCTTTGATCTTGCTTTCTACTTGGTTACAATGGGTTTTTTCATTATCCTTTTTTTTTTTTTCCCAGGGACCGCCTGGCTCAATGGGACAACCTGGCCTTGCAGGTGAACCTGGCATGAAGGTAAGAAAAACCCTTAGTGCAAATTCTCTGGCAGACCAGGGAAATAATAGCAACTTCTGTTCCTGCAGGGCTTGCTAACATTGCAGGTTCACCCTCCAGCAGCCAAAGCAGACAGCATATTCAAAAAAAGATAAAGTTTAAAAGATAAAATTAGGTTAACTTTAAGCTCTTGGTTACAAATTCGTGAGCCCCATCCCAAGGGGGAGGCTGTCAGTGCTGGGAAGACAAACTGTCCCAGGGGTCTTCTTCCTCGAGAGCCTTGGAAATGAAGCTCAACCCTTTTGCAGATCCAAAATCTGAGTGGAGAAGGGAGTCCTTGAGACTCAGAGATCCAGGCAGCTTCAAATTTGAAACAAGAAGAGTCTTAGGAAGGTCCCAAGCTTAAAAACACCCTCAGACAAGGTCCTGCCACAGTGTCCAAGCCTCAGCTCTGTGGGGACTGAACTGCTGTAACGGTTATAGGGGAAGGGTGCTTGGCTCCCCAGCCATGAATGCACCTTCTTGTCCACATGGAAAGGCCTATAAAAACCCCCTCTTTGTTTGAATAAGATCCCTGTGCTGAGCAGCTCAGAGGGGTTTTTATTTTATCCTAACCCCCTTCGTGCTTGGTTTGAAGGTTCGCTACCATGTGGAGAGCTTTTGAACAGGCTCTATGTGGGGATTAAACGCAATTTCCTCTTTGCTGTTCTTCGCTCCCCAGCCCCATCCTTTGCCATGTTTTCCTTGGCAAATCTTCTGACACTTCACTGGAGCTACCGTGTCTTTGGTGTCCTGATACTGCACGAGTGTTTCAGCTCCCGTGCTCCTGGCTGCCCTCCTCGGGAGCAGGACATGATGATTTGCACAAGCATCCCTTTACCCGCTGTCAGTGCAACACGTCCTTGCTGGGGCGTCAGAGAGTGGGAGTCCTGTGCTGCTGCTACCTCTGAAGCTGGGAGGTGCTGGGACAGACTGGGAGGTGCTGGGAGGTGCTCTGGGCAGTCATCGCTCACAGCCCAGTTTGCTGCAGGACGAGATGTATGGATAGGTCTTTTTCTCCTTCTGCCTCTGCATTTCCTGACCTCTTGCAAAGCAGTCAGCTTGGGTGGGCACACGTGGGAGGTAGGTGCCCAATGGCCGTTGTACCCCCAGTGCAACCTCATAGCCTACTGCCAAGATCCATTTGTTTGCCAGCTCCAGGCACCTTCAGTTCATTCGTTTTGGTGCCATCAAGCATTCACGTTCTTCTCCACCCTCCTCAGCCATGCTGGGGCTCAAAGAGCTGTCAGCTTGCTGCTCCCGCGGTCCGGGTGTGTCTGCCACAGCGCTGCATTGCAGCCAGCACTGCTGCTTTTCCTGCCAAAGGGCCGTGCCAAGTGAATATCTTCTGGCTCTGCAGCTGCAGGCACCCCCCCGGACCCCAGGACTCATCGCAACAGAGCCTGCAAGGTGTGCGCTGGCCCTCCGCGAGCAGAGGTGCGGGTGGTGCCAACCTGTCCTTTGGACGCCCTTGCAAACTGAAGTGTAGGTGTTTGTGTGGGAGAAGGAAACAAAAAGTCAAAATGATGGATGCAATGGGAAGTGCTTCGTGCTCACTCGCTGTCGGTAAACAGCTTGTTTCCATGTCTGTGGTTCCTTCTTTGTAGGGTGATCCTGGCCCGCTGGGAGTCCCTGGAGAGCAAGGCCTTGTTGGCCAAAGAGTAAGTATGGTCACCTTCTGGTAGGGCTGCTCTGCTGTACCAGGTCCCCAGGGGCTCTGTTCCCTGTCCACCTCCAGCCTGGGCAGACAGACCCTGCTCTGGGTGTCCCATAACCCTTATGGCCCTTGTTTCTTCTGTGGGTGGTGGAAACACCTTCCTCGCAGAGCCCGTCAGCTTGAGCTCACCAGCTTTCGTGAGCCTGTCCAACGCTACAGCGCTGCTTTGCAAAGTGCTGTGACGTCCTCGGGTGTGAACGGGGCAGTGTGGGAACAGACCCGGCCGGTTCCCCGGCCCAGCGCCGCCGGGAGGGTGCAGTCCGCCCGGGGCCGGGCGATGCTGGAGCAGAAGGCGGGCATGAGGCAGGGAAACACTGGCTACACTATGCACAGGTGGGAGGGAGCCAGGGACGGGATGAATGCATGGATTGAAGCCGGCGGTGGCTCTTGTCCCTTCTCAGGACTAAGGTCCGTTGTTGGAGCAGGATGGGGAAGCCCCAGGTTTGGTGAATACAGA